ATGGATGGATGGTAGACAGATGGCAGATGGATGGATGGATGGGTGGGTGGGTAGATGGATGGCAGATGGATGGGTGGTGGAAGGTGGACAGACAACGGACACATGGATGGATAAACAGTGAATTAATGGGTGGACAGGTAGACACACAGAAGGATGGTGGATGGTGGATGGTGGATGGATGCCAGTCCCATGGAAAGACTGAGTAGGCTTCATGAAGCCAGTGAACACGGTAAGGAGTAGAGATTTGGACCAGGAGGATTTGGGGCATCCCACGTAAGCATGTCTCACGTCCTCCGTGTGGCCCAACTGTCTTATCTGCATTTGCCAGCAAAGTAGCAGGGCCGCTGGTGAGGGATGTGGCCACATACCCGGAGCAGTGTTGGGGGCACGTCACACAACAGTGTCGTACTCGGCAGCCCCTCAGGCCAGGTCACAACGGCCATCTGACAGTAAAGGTTGTGTACGCTCAAGGGGGTCCGTGACCTGCAGGGCCTCTGAGAGAGAGGGATGGCTGGGACTGGCACCTGTGCCCACTGGCTGCAAGGCCACACTTTCCTTGAAGGCCACTTTGCAGGGCACAGCTCCTCCACCCGCCGGCCAGGTGACTGTGCACAAGACCATTCACCTCGGGGCCAGATTTCCTCATCTATCATGTAAGCAAAACCAAAGCTTCCTCCCCAGGAGCCCAGCCCATGGCCAGGGCCAAGCACAACTCAGTGAAGAGTCCTTCAGGCCAGTGAGAGGGGCAGGGGGTCAGGAGTGGGAACCCGACCCCAGGCCCACCCTCTCTGCAGCTCATTCTGGAACCTCAATCGATTTCCACAAGGGTCATTTCACCACTGCAAAACAGGACGGGGAAATTCATTTCTTTTTAGGAGTGTTCTGGGAAATGAAGCAATTAGCACGATCTTAACCCTATGTGTACTGTCGACCACAATTCAATTACGGGTTTAGCCACAGCGCAGGCAGACAGCCACTCGGTAGAAACAGCCCATGGCTGGGAAGGTGGCGGCCCACCGGCAAGCCTGTGGGTCTCGGCTCTGCAGGATGGCAGCACCCATCCATCCACCCACCCATCCATCCATCCACCCATCTACCATCGGAGGGTGCTGGGTGGCCCTGAGCCTGGGCCCTCTTCTAAGCTTCCCATCATCACAGCCTTCTGAGCGAGGCCATCAGCTGGGGAGCCCAAACCTAGGCTCTACCCTAAAGCCGAGACGTCAAGGTCACAAAACAAAGGCTGCAGGCTCCAAGGGCCTCAGTCACACTGCTTCCCTGCCCAGATTTCCAGTTTCCACCTCAGCCCTGTCAGAGGCCCGGCACAGGCTATCGCACCCAACCTCCAGCTTGGTCACCAAGGCCTCCCTCATAGAAGGCTTGTCAGGGGGCCCTGAGCCTGGCCCTGGGTGCACCTGGACTCTGGGACTCGTAGGAGCCTTTCTAAGGTGACTCGGTCTCCCCACGCTGTATGTGAGCACCCCTGCCGGTAACCCCACTTTGAGGACTGGGGAGACAGGGAAGCCAAGTCACCAAGAGGTCAAGGATCTCTCCCGAGGACACGAGACTAATCAACGTTGGCGCCAGTAATCACGCCCGAGTCTGGGCTGGCCTGCCCCAGGCCACTACCCAGCCAGACCTCACTGCTTTGGGGCACCCTGGCAGTCACGACACCAGGAAGTCCGTACACGGGGGTGTCACCCACATGGGCAGGACTCACGGACATGTACTCCATCACTCGATCTCCTCCCACGCACGGCCACGGCTGGCCTAGGGACCCAGTCTCCCTCAGCAAAGGAGCGGGCAGGGAGGGGTGCTGTGGAGCAGGTGTTCCACGGCCCCACGTGCTTCTGCTGGTCTCTGCCAGGTCCGAGGACTGCAGGAACCCAGTGGGACGACAGGGATGCCGCGAGGGGCCGCCCTCAGGAGGGAAACCGACTATAGGGAGGGGCTGGTGAGCTTGGGGCTGCAGACCCCTCCCGGACCCCCAGGCAGCAGCCCCCTGCAAGCCCCCACCTACGCCCCCCCCACACACAGCGCCAGGGACGAGTGGGGAGGGGGCCCTTTGGACGGCTCTCCACCCAGCGTGCCTGGCTCCGGGATGTGTGCCTCCTGCAAGGTGCTCCCAGGCACTGAGGCCTCCTGGGGTGTCTGCACCGTCTGCAGCATCGATGGGGCAACGAGACAAGGCTGGCTCTGGGGACAGAGCTGCTAATTTGCTAGGAGGGAGGGCCCGAGAGAAGAGGTGTGGATGGGCGGCCTCAAGCCGGAGGGAGCATGCAGAATGGGAACATCTGGGCACAGGCCACTGGCAGGTACGGTGTCCCTCTGGTCACTGTGCCCAGACTCCTGGGCACACCTTGGTTCCTGGAGAACAAGGCCAAGGGCAAGTGGGACCCAACTCCTGGGCTCCCCTGGAGAATATGCCAGACATGTGGGCCCCCCCAGGAGCCCCGGTGGGAGCCAAGTTACAGCAGAAGCCCGGTCCTCGTTCTGGGGTGGGGGGCTCGGAGCCAGGCTGGTCACGGGCCTGAGGGAAGGTGGGCCCGCACTGTGGGCCCAGAAGTCCCCCGGAGCTGCCCCAGGACGGCGCCCTCCAGGGACGGCAAGCGGCGCCAGCGGTGGCCCAGGAGAGCGGGAGAGTGGGCGACATGGAAAAACTCAAAACACCTTCACTTAGTAAACGTTTAAATCATGCAATTATTTTCCTGATAGCTTCTAAAATTAGAACTCATTAAAAACTCTCACAGAATCTTTTCTCCTCTTCTCCTGGCACCGCGGAGTAACAGCCTTGCACGGGGCACGGAAAAACCGCGAGGCATGTGCGTGTGCACCTGCGCGCTCCCCTGGCCATCAGGAACGAGAAGCAAGAAAACACCGCAGCACTTCTTCCATACACGAGCTCTTCTTATAATTAGGATCTTGGCAACTGTCCGCCTATGAGCACGACTGTTCCAGTTAACGGAACGCCCAATTTCACTGATTTATTCACGGATTCATAGTCATCGGCCCCTGCGTTCCGGCTGTACCGTGCTAACCTCCAGGAGGGCACCCCGGGGCTCTGCCCTGTGGAGGCCCCTCAACCCGAGCCTCCTCTCTCCTGGGCCTGCCATGTAGCCATGGCGACAAAGCAGTTCCTGGGCTGGGTCAGGCGACACCGCCCCAGAGGGGAGTGGGCAGCGCCACCTGCACAGGTGAGATCAGGTGAGGAGGGCTCGGCAGGGGGAGCCCGGGGCACACCCAGTGGTCAGGCCCGGTGGGCTGCCCAGGCCAGGAGTGGATGGACACGCGACTCGAGTCCCAGCTCCATTAGCCAGACCTGTGCCTGGCAAGCTTGCTAGGTGCTGGCCTTGGCTGGAGGCACGGCCCGTCCTGCTGGACCTCCGCGGCCGTGGGAGGCGACACGCTGCCCCACCCTCCAGACAGAAGAGTGGGTCTCAGCCAGAGTTAGGTAGCGGCCCCTGGGCCCTGCACACCTCGGGGACCGCCTGCACCCTTCCCCCGCCCCAGGGAGGCCGACAGAGGGGGGGGTTGGACTGTGCCGCGCACCAGCCACCAGCACAGCCCTGCGCCTGAGTCAGGCAGCCCGGGCTCGAGGCCCCGCCCTGCCACACTCGCGCTGCACCGCCGGCCAAGTGACGCGGCTTCTCTCAGCCTCCGCATCGTCTTGGATAAAATTGGAACACAGGAGCGCTCACTCTCGCGGGGCTGTTGTGAGGGCTGATAAAGCCGCGCATTAACAGGCAATGGAGCCTCCTCGTTAAGTCCCAGCCCTGCTTGGGAGGCCCGGCACGTAAACCTCGTTCACGCCTCCACCAGCGCCCGCGTAGCCACCGCGCACCATTCATCCCTCCGTCCCCCTCCATCCGTCTCCCACCCACCTGTCCCTCATCCTCCCACCCAGCCATTTGTCTGCACGACAGTCATCGTGTCGTGCGTCCTCTGTGGTTAGGACACCGCGACAACCATGCGCTCTGTTCTCACAAAGAGAAAAATCACAAGTCGGTCCGTGACACGGTACGTTCGACGACGCACAGGGGAGCCCGGAATTTCAGACGGACAACACCTGCACCAAGACCGAAAGGTACAGAGCAGGAGGAAGGTGCTGGAGCGTCTAGAGGAACAGGGTCCGAGCAGGAAGGCGCCAGCGGGTTCAGAGAGCCAGAGCAGCTGGCGGAAAGGGCCGAGGGAAGTGTGTGTGCTCCCCGGGTCGGCGCCGGAGGGCCTGGGGGACCCCCAACCCACCTGCCATGCTGTTCCTAGCGGCAACCCACATGTCTGCACCGCCATAACCGCCTCGACCACCAGAGCCCAGGTGAGGCTGTGGGCCGTCCGCTGCTGGGTCACAGAAGCACCCCCGAGCCTCCCACTGGGGTGAACCCCTAGTCAGTTCACACCTGTCCCAGGCCCGGCAGAGTGTGAACTGGGGTGTGAACTGGGGCACGGGACTCCAGGAGCTCCCAGGGAGGGGTGAGGTCGGGGCTGGGGGGCATGGGGGGCCAGCTGTGAGTTACACCCTGCCCACCCACCCCCCACCGACAGATCTGGCTCTGCCCAGGTGAGACCCCTGTAGGCAGCCCAGCTCTGCGATGCACGGTCACCTGTGGCCTCACAAAGATCCTTTGGGTTTCCTTAAGCCTTTCAACAGCCTCCCAGACCACGGTCCTGTCTTACAGAGAAAGCGAAGCTCCCAGGAGACCCCTTGGTGCTCCCATGGCCAGGCAGCGGCATGGCCGGGGCTCGAACCTGGGCCAGAACCCCACTTCCCCTCTGCCACCAAGAGCTGCCAGAGGCCAGACGGCCCCTCCCTACATGGGGACGAGAAGTTCCGGCTACCACCACAGCAGCCCCCCAGGCTCCGCAGCGAGACTTCCCTTTCTGCCAGGACCGGCCGGCTGCCCTGGTGGTGGCAGGCCATGCTGGGCCACGGGTGGGCTTGGCCACTGCTGTGAGGACACCGGACTAGCCACCCTCCCGGGCAGCCTTATTCCCGGGAGAAAGAAGGGCGGGGCATCCTGGCCTGTGGCCTTGGAGCACGAGGCCCTGGACACGTACCTTCTGCTCTTCTGGACAAGGGGCACAGTCAAGGGTTTCAGAGGGAGCTGCCCACAGCCCGTCATCTGAGGGTGTCCCCAGTGCTAGGGAATGGGCTCAGAGAGGGGACCTAAGGCTGGAAGGGATGTGAGAGGCTGCGGCCCGAGGGGCCAGCTCTGCCCAGACTGGCCACGGCCTTGCCGGGCGCAATCCGCTGTGGAGAGCACAGGACGAGGGTCCACGGTCAGTGGGAACGGGAAGTGGGGGCTCAGCCCCGCAGGCCAGACTCCCAGGAGGCGAGCACCAAGGCCACAGAGAAGAAGGAGCTGGCTGCTGGCGGGCCTCCCACACAGCTGTGGTGGACCGACAGACCACCAAGGGCCGGCACACAGGCCTGGGGGCAAAGCTGCCCACTGCCGGTCACCGGCCAGCCTACGGTGTTGGGGGACCGGCAGCTCTGGAGGCAGCTTAATGGGGAGCCTCTGCGGTCCTGCTTCCTCCCACCCACACCCAGTTAAAGCCTGAGCTCTGAGTGGGACGGAAACTGCCCTTCCCACTTTACAGCAGTCCTGGTACCGAGCCCCTCAGGGCCAGGGAGGTCTGGGGTCACCCAGGTCACAGCCCACCTAGGACCAGTGTCAGGAAGGGGCCCTAGGCTCAGAGTCTAGAGACCAGCTGCTTCCCGCAAATCAGGGGCAAGGAGAAGCAACCCCAGAGAGTCCCAGAACTAGCCTGGCAGAAGAGGGGCTGTGCCTCAAGCCCCCCACACTCCTTGTCGGAGGGACCCATCCTCTGACTCCTGCCCATGGCTGGACACGCCCCTCCAGATGCACCTTGCCCAGGACGAGCCAGGGCTCAGGCCACGTGGGCCCCAGGAGTTGGCCTCCCCCATCAGGAAGGGGGTGACAGTGTCCTGAGAGCCTGGCCCGGCCCCCTCCACAGGAGCACAGCCACCCCTGGGGCAGCTGCCAGGCACTGCTCTCCACGGGTGGTGTCCCCAAAGCTCCCCCTGCACACAGGTGCTTTCCTTCCTCACTGCAGTCACACCTGCAGATAGTGTGGGATCCTGTCTAGGGCAAGGGTGTCTCAGGCAGGCCCCACAGCGTGGCCCTGCCGCCCTCCTCCCAACCCTCCACACGCTCAGGCAGCTCTCATGGGAGTAGCCCAGCACCTCCCACAGGAGGGAAGCTGAGACCCAGGGAGGGCCTGGGTCTGCCCTAGGCCACTCCTGCTAGTACTCGGGGACGGGAGGGTAAGCCTGCAGCGTCCAGGCCCACGAAGCCAGGGATCAGGACAGAGGACGGCTGAGGCGGGGCGTGGGGGGGGGGGCAGCTGTGCCAATGCAGCCTGTAAGCGGCCCAGCCCCGCAGGTCAGAGCAGGGAGGCGCGGGGCGGAGAGGGGCTGAGAGGGGCTGAGTGGGGCTGAGTGGGGCTGAGGGGGGAGGAGCTGGTCTGAGCTGGGCTGAGCTGGGCTGGTCAGGTGGAGCTGGACAAGGTGGAGCTGAGTGGGGGGGGCAGAGCTGGGGGGCGGAGGGTTAGTAGGGGTGGGGGGACCAGTGGGGCGGAGCCGGGCTGAGCGGGGGTGTGGCGCAAATAAGCGGGGCGGAGCTAGGCGGAGCTGGGCACGGTCGGGGCAGCAGAGCAGGGCGGGGCGGGGCTGAGCTGGGCGGAGCTGGGCTGAGGGGGGCGGGGCGGGACGGAGTCACCCGTCCACAGGGCCCAGCGGCTCCGCAGGAGGAGCGCAAGCCGAAGAGCACGATGGAAGCGAGGGGCGGAAGGACAGCACGTCCAGCTTTGCGGGCCCGGGGTTTGGGCACGGGCACGGGCACAGAAACCCCGCGTGGGGCCCGGTTCTGGTGGACAGAAAGCAACAGCCAGCAGCCAGAGGAAGGGACAAAGGGAAGGAGGTGGGGGCAGACTGCGCCCGTGGTAAGCAGCCTGCTCTGTTGCACAGGGAGGCCGTGTGAGCCGCCCACAGACGTCCCGAAGCGGCGGCCACACCCCTCCGCTGTCCTCTGTAGCTCTGGACAGACAGCGCCGGAGACCCTGAGCAGCTGGGCTCTGGGCCCGCCCTGTGGGGGCCTGGGGCAGCCCACCTGTCCCCAGGAGTCCAGCCTGTCCAGGCAGGCACTGCGGGCCCCTCCCTCCCTGTTTGCCCTGCGAGCCTCCATCACCAGGGCCAGCCATGCAGTCTGGGAGATAGACCCAGACAAGGGCTGACCACGCGTCCACGTCCCCTCTGTGCCACACGTGGAGACTCTAGCTTCCGCGTGCCTAGCCATAGTGGTCCTCTCTGCTGACCACCCCAAGACTCTGTGGGCCACAAAGGGACTGGCTGAATTCAGGCAGCTCCCACACTACCCCAGGCCCCTCCCTCTCAGCTAAGGTGGGCTGATGAGCCCTGGTAAAACCCACCCTCTGCCTAGTGACCATACAGAGAACTAGAGCAGGGCCCAGGCCTGGGCTGCCCAATGCAGGAGGTACCCTACTCAGGGGCTCCTCGGAACCCCAGCCTGGAGGCCCCCCCTTCATGTTTGCTCTCAGAGGTGAGTGCTCACCTGCTCAGGGGTTCCTGGCCTTTCCCAGGGGCAGCCCTTGCCCCGCCCATGTCTTATGCCCAGAGCCCTGCCCTCAGCTCCCAGCACCCGGACAAGGCCCCCTCCTCAAGCACAGCATGGCCCCCCACCCCCACCCGGCTGCCCAGCCTCCCAACCTCTGCCCCTTCTCCCCACTACCCACAGACAGTACGCTGGAGAGGCCGCTGGGCCCTTCCTACAGGGACCCGAGTTCTCGAGCCAAAGAGGAGCCAAGTAAGTCTCCCCGCCTCTCAGGACCCCAGCACCCCGCGTCTTCAGGGGCAATCGCGCTTGGATCCCTTTCTCAGCTGCTGGTGGAAAGCCGGTCTTGCTGTGCCAGCAGACAGGGCTCCCCGTGTGTGTGCGCTTGGTCCTTCTCTGGATGTCTCAGCAGAGCGGAGCCCCCGTAGCCCTGTGCCGCCTCCTGCCCAGGCCACAAGCCGGTGGACCTTCCCCTCCGGGAAGCAGGACAGTGCGAAGGGACGGGTCCTCATGGAGGCAGAGGCTGAAGTGGGGAGGGGGCCCCAGAAGTAAGAGGGCTGAGCTCCGCCTCCCTGGGGGGGGGCATCCACCTTCTCCCACGGTGGACAGCAAACACAGCAACAGGTTCTGTGCAGCTGACTCAGTTTACCAACTTGCCCAGATTCTTGTTTTTCTAGAATAAGCTACTTTCAGAGAATATGCATCCAGAAACAGAGCCTCTGGAAGCAGCTCCAATGTCCCAGGCAGAGGCAGAGACGGAGGCCGGCGGCGGAAGAGAACGCACGCACATCTGCACACGGGGGCTCGGGGGGCTCAGCCCCACTGTCCACGGAGCCAGCGTCCCTGCTGCGCTCCCGATGCACTTCCAGCACCCCGGGACAAGAGGCCAGTGGCACCGTCACTAACACAGTCCCACTGCCCACGCACACCCCGCAGGCTGGTCCTCACCTCGATCCGCAGGACGGCTTCCTCGCGCAGCCGGATGGTCTCCAGGTCCTCCTCCGTGATCTCCGGAAGTAGCGCCTGCTCCTGGCCCTGCCACATGCCATCACTCCCGTTAAAGATCTTTTCATCATCAGGCAGCTCAGCAAAAGGGGCCCGGGGACTCTGCCGGCAACAGAGACAGACCAGTTAGCGAGGGTGCGCCAGGCTGCCCACCAGGCTCAGGCCACAGCTGCTCCCCGGGCTCAGGGCTTTGGGCACCAGGGGCCTCCAGGGTCTGCAGGGCCCCCAGCCCGCACTCTCGGAGGGGAGAGGACCCACAGCCATGGGGCCTTGCCACGTGGGGCCACTAAAGGGACCAGGGTCCAACAGACACCCCGAGCCCACCTGGGGCCACCCCAGGCCTGGCTTCGGGACGCACTCAGCAGCCCCTCACTCCCCCCCACAGCCCTGCTGGAGTTGACTCCTCGTATCCCCAGCTCCTGGTGACACCCGAGAAATGTCCCTTCACACATGGACACAAACGCAGCTCCTCACAGGGCTGTGAGCCCACCGCAAATCCATTCTGGGGGCGGCCACAGGTCACGGTCAGGGTCTAGCTACCAGGCAGGGGCTGTGGAAACGGAGGTGTGGCCACCCACACAGCAGGGCATGCATGCCACGGGGGATGGTGCATCCCGCACACACCTTCACGGAGGCTGGACCCTGGGGGAGGGGTGCCAGGGGCCTTTTATGTCTTTCCATTCTGTGTCGACTGCTTTAATTTACCCGATCTTGGAATTCAATAAAATGTGGCTTTTTCCTTCAATTAACGATCTGCTCTCTGATAGGACTCTGAGTACAAGTGAGTGGACGTGCAGGGCTGCCTGTGGGGGGCTGTCTCCTCACTGGGCACCCCACAGGGGTGAGGGAGGGTGGGAGGCAGGACCGGGTCCCACTCTGGAGCCGTGGCTTCACCCGGAAAACGTGCAACAGCAAAGATGACCGCCATGCCCGCCTCAGCCCCTCCCCATCAGAAAGCCAAGCCCTGGCTCGCAGCCGCTCCCCACCCCCAGGTCAGCCGAGCTCGGCTTCATATCAGGGCTGGGTGTGTGTGGGTGTGTAGCTACACGTGTGTACCTGTGTGAGTGTGTGTGCGTCTGTAAGAGAAGGGGATAGGCATCACGAATGGCTGGAGGATCGGTTGAGCCACCTGGAGACCCCAGGCTCTGTGCCTCCCAGTATGGCCAAGCTCCTCCCACCAGCTGTCTCTGACACCTCCGACCACCCTGCAAAGAGCCCACAGCCCATTTTACAGATAAGGACATTGAGGCCAAAAGGCCAAGGAACCCAGAACAGGCAGGATGTGAAGCTGGGGCTCCAGGCTCCAATTCCAACACAGAGGAGCTCCAGGGCAAGAAGCCACAAGGACAGTGCACCTGAGACCAGGGGCGTGGGAGGGGCTGCCCTGGCCCCCTGGTTGGAGCAGCTTCCTCCCCAGCTGACCCTGTTCCCCGGGCTACACCCGGGCCTCCTCGGCAACTCTCCTGCCCTCACTCCTGCCCCAGGTGCTGGCTCTGAGCATAACACCCTTCCCCTGTCCAGAGATCATGCTGACACAGGGACAGAGGACAGGGTACAGCTGACCCCCGCTCTCCCAATGCCGGCCCGAACCCTGGTCGAGCCCCCTCTGTGTGTCTGGGCAATGGGCCGGGACTGAAATGCAGGACTGGCCTTCCCTCACAGAGCCTCCCTCCGCAGGCTCCGTGTCTCTAGGACACTCCGCACTGGGCAGTCCAAAAGGAGGCTCTGAAGACTACCACCGGCCTGTCCATTCTCTTCCCTTCGTGACAAGACCACCTTCCCATGCCACTCAAGGCCACAGGGAAGGGTGTTGGCCAGGGCAGGGCCCAGCATGGCCCCCTGCCAGGCAGCCGTCACGTGGCCTCGGCAGTGGGGAGAGCACCACCGCTCCCACACACACTCCTGGCCCCTGCGGCCCACCCTGAGCCAGCCCCGGGGTACAGCCGCAGACGGCCCCACATGCTTACAGGCTTGGCTGGGCACAGAAACCAACAAGCCACAGAGACAACGAATTCAGCCCAGTTTGGACAAAGGCCTGCAGAAGGCCTGTGCCCATGCGAGGGCCAGCCCCGGGAGCCACAGCAGAGACAAGGCGGGAGGCCAGCGCTCCTCTCTCCAGTGGGGCTCACGACCTGGAAGGTGGGCATGCTCACACTGGGGTAAAGAGGGCGCGGTGCGGGTGCCCCAGGGGCATAGAGAGGCCCCCACTAACCCAGCTATGCTTCCAAAGCCAACGTTCTGCCCCCACACCACGCTACAGCGGGCGGAACCTCTTCCCCCAGCGTTGGCAGAGGCCTTTACAGAAATAAATACGTGGAGAAATGAACATAAAATAAAGGATCTGCAAAATCTGTTGACAAACGCTACTGGTCCAAGGTGGCAATTACCACCTCCCCTTCCCGGTGTGGGCGGACGGCAGCGGAGGGGCTGGCACGGAGCCGAGCCATGGCTTCTGGCCCAGCACAGCAGGCTCGGGGCCTCATTGCCCTGGGGACAAGGGCCCCACAGCCCCAGGTGCTCAGCACACCGCTGTGCCACTGGTCAGACCCGTCCGGCGTCCCTTCTGGGCACTGCCGGGCACCCTCGCTCCCGCCAAAAGGGACCGAGTGGGGGTCTCCTCGCTGAGCACTCACACCCCGGCCCAGACAGCAAGGCCCAGGGCGCTCGCTGGCTCTGCCACCTGGCAGGTTCCCCAGCCTCCCCCAGCCCCCGGTACCCTCGCCCAGAGCCAGGGAAAGGAGCGAGAGGAGGAACCACCTCGCTGTGTCAGCAGGTGCACGTGAAGATGACGCATCAGCAGAAGCCACAGGGGAAGCCGAGGGACCGCGCTGCCCCCAGAGAGGGGCATGAGTGCCACCTCTCCCAGGGGCCTGGCCCGGCTCATTGGCTCCAGTGGGAATGCCGCCTGGGCACGGCGTTCAGAAAGCCTCCCAGGTCTGCCCAACAGTCCCCGAGGGCCCCTCGTCTGTGCACCTGGGGCCCGAAAGACAGAAAGGCTCCCCTCAAGCACGTACCCTGGGAGGAGGGGCTGGAAAAACCGCCATGATGCCTACAGACCAACTGGCAGAAGCACTCAGATGTGCCTCACACCACAGCCACCTTCCCTGGAGGCAGCCTGGCAGGTGGAGACAAAGGGGGCCTGCATGTCCTCACCTGCACAGGTACAGCCCGCCCCTCCCCCAGCAGCTCACGGCAAAACAGAAGACAGGGCAGCAAGAAACGGCTGGGACACCTGATCTCCAGAGAGCACCAGAAAGCGCTCCTTTATTCTCCTTACAAAGGCCCAGTTTGGGGATTAGGGATTTGCTGGCAAGGCGCTGGGGCCGGTGGTGCGGAGGAGACAGCCCTGTGATGGTTTTCCAGCACAAGAGGCCGCCAACAAAGACGGCTTTCTCCTCCCTCCAAGGCCGATGGTTTGGGTCCCACTCTGTAAGGAAGAAATGCACAAACCAACGTGACCGCTGGACCGCCGGGCTGAGAGCGCTTTCCCGTGAGAAGAGCGAGGCGGGAGGAGGCACACAGGCTCCCTGGGTTCTTGGGGACTCTGGGAAAGGGGCCCCTTTCCCGCGCACTCCGACCCGGGGCTCTGCGCAGGAACGTCCGTGATCCTGGTGGGAGGGCAGGGGTCAGGGCGAGAGCCAGTCACGGGCTTGGGAAAACTGCTTTTGTTCAGCAGCCCAAGGCTGGCCATCAATTTCTCCAAGTAATAAATGACGACGTTTGTTAGCAGGTGGAAGTGCCTGGAGACGTGTCAAAGCCCAGAATGTCAGAACCGGCATGACCACGGCAATCCTTCCCCCGACACCCACCCGAAACAGCAGCACTGGGGCCCAGAGGCCAGGGGCACCCCGCCCTGTGCGAGGACAGTAGGATTTCCAGCCAACACACGGCGGTCTGGCGGAAACATACGCCAAGCCGGCTCACGGCAGCACAGACCGTAGACTGTCCCCAGCGAGGGCCAGGAGCCGGCCCAGACACACCCAGCGCCACCCACTGGCTCCGCTTGACCAGGTCTGAGATGGACCGTGGACCCGACCTCGAGGGCAGATGCCAGACGGCTGACCTGCTCCCAGCCGCAGCCGGCACTTGGCTCAGACGGGAGAAGGTGGTCAGTGGGCACCCCTCACTCCGGCCAGGACCGCCAGGCCTGCAGACGGCGCCCCGAACTCTGCGAGATCAGTGTCGCAGCCACGCTGTGTTAAATAGGGTAGTATGTCATCTCCCTGTTCGCGGTTTGCAGAATTCCTGGAAATAAACTCATCTCTCATAGTTTCTCAGAAACACTGCTGACCGTTCTCTTCCTTTTTTAAAAAAATGTGGCTGAAAGGCAGCACATCTGCAGTCCACTAATCAGACGTGCACGGTCTGAATTCTTACAGAAGAAAGACCTCCGGCATGACACGGAACCTCGCCGGGACCCTGCTACGCCCCTCCAGCCCCCCGCCATCACACTGCCTCCAACCAAGGGGAATGGTCTGGCTTCTAACGTGCCCATCACCGTGGCCTGGTTTTGACCTCCCTCTGCTCCGGTTTCGGGCTTCTCTGGCTCGACACTCTGAGATCACACGGCGGGCCCCACTGGCGACAGCTGGCTCTTCCTGGCGCTACAGCCTCCATGCGGGAATCCAGCACGAGGGATCTGGCCGCTGCCCTGCGGGCTGGCTGTCTTCCCAGCACTATGAGCCACCTTCGGTGTGACTTCGGGTGAACACACAGGTGCCTCTCCACGGGCTGTGCACTTGGGGGAGGACCGCGAAGTCACAGGAAAAAGAATGCGCGAACCCAGGAAGCGCTTCAGGGTCCGGAGGGGCAGCATCTTTGCGCCTCCATCGGCACAGCCTCCCAGCTCTCGCGAGCACCACGTGAGTGCTCTGGTGGGTGCGAGGGGACGGGCCGGGATTGAGCTCCATGGGCTCCCTCGGCCGCTTCCGATGACGCCCACTGAGCACACGTCCGTGTACTCTGACCATGCGGACATCCCCTTTTGTGACATGTCTGTGCGCTACCGGCCACATGGATGTCCCCTTTTGTGACCTGCCTAAGGATTCTGCCCTTCCATGATTTTGAAATGGGTTATCTGCCTCTTTCTTATTGATTTCTCAGAGATCTTCATATATTACGGACATCAGGGCTTCCCAGACACACGTACGTGAATACCGTCTCTTGCGCTGTAGGTTCCTCTTCCGCTCGCTGAAGGGTATGTTGATTTAAGGACGTCAAGCTGATCTGCTTTATACTTGGTACCTTTTCATCTGTGCAAGACATGTTCGCTCACCATGAAGACGTGCAGACAGACTCCCATGGTGTCTTCTAGAAGCTTCACTGCTTTCTCTCTCACGTGTAGATCCATGTTCTAACTCAAGTCCTTCTTGCACACGGGGGCGGGTTTCGGGGAAGGATCTGCTGGCAAAGACAACCTTGTGCCTGCGCCCTCCTGGCCCCTCTCAGCCACATAAGAACGGACCACGGCCTGGAGCACTTCCCCACCAAGAGACAGAGCCTTCCCAGCTGTGCTGCGCTTGCTGGCTCGTGAGACAACGTCTTTCCCTGTTTCAGAGGCGATGCAGACTCTTTTGTTCTGTGAAAGCACGTGCATCCTGTGGCACCTGGCCAAGCCCACTGCTGCGCCTGTCCCCTGCGGGGGGTGGTGGGGAGACGGGGTCCCTCTGCGGCCACATGGGCATGCATGCAAGCCGGTCAATGGTCAGGAGGGGCCTGCTGGCCACAGGGGACCATGCCCACCGTGGAAGCTGACCCTGCTGGCTCTTCTGTGCACAGGCAATACCAAGGCGCAAGGCCGGGGGTGTCCAGACGCAGACTTGCCTGCTGCCCAACAGGATCCCTTTTCCTGGCTCAAAACCCCGGCAGCGCGGCATCGAACCCCGAACAGACCCCCATTCCCTACCGCACGGCAGCGCCCTTGCTCCAACGGCTGGGGAAGGCCTCTCCCGGGTCCGGTGCTCTCACAAGTGGGACCACTGTTTACATTTCTTTGTGCGCTGTGCTGCTGGCGCACGGTGTCCCCTCGGACGCAGACCCTGTCACCGTCGCTTCTCAGCTCTCTCACCGCAGGCTCGTCCACCTTTCCCAGCAACGCAGCTGCGCTGTCTCTGCAGGGCCTGCTTCCTCCCCGGTTCCTCTTACACCTGTCGCTTCTGCTTCACGCCTCAGTGCAGTGGACACGCTCTCTAGCGCAGCGGGGAGGAGAACAGGACCAGACCCCGTGTCTCGCCCTCGGTCTCAGGAGGGACGTTTTTCACGTCTCAGCAGCCAGTATGGTACTAACCGCAGGGCTCTGGAAGCCACCCACTGTGAGATTCAAGGCTCTTCCGTCCCCAGCCCACTGAGCTCTGCCCCTGCCCGCAGGGGGTGCACACGTTCACCAAGGGCTTGTACCCCCCACCGCGGTCTTGCTCCAAGGACATGACGGCCTATGTGGGTTATTCCCGAAAGTAAACCAACTCCACACCCCAGAGTAAGCCCCGCTTTAGGACAATGTTATCACCCTTTTACATACTGTCAGATCAAGCCTGCTGGTGGTGTGGTTAGGGTCTTTGCTCCTATGCTCATGAGAGAACATTCCCTTCCTTTTCGTGATGCCGTCGTAGGAATGTGGCATCACAGCTTGCTGTCTTGCCAAGCTAGGTGACACGCGTCCGCCTCTCTGCGTTTTACGTAAGAGTCTATGCGAACTAGTAATATTTATTCCTCAAATGTCTGGAAGAACTCACCAGTAAAATCACTGAGGTCTTGAATTTTCTTGGTAGCATTTTAACAATGGAAATTGCGGAACTGTTTATTTCATTTCTGTAATAAATACCGGACTTTCCAGACTTTCGGTACGTCTTGGTAACTTACATTTTTTTCTAAAAAAAAAAAATTTAGGCGTCCCGCCTGAGTGGGCAAGTTTATTGACATAAAGTCGTGTCACGGCATCTTCAAACCTCTACCGGCCGAGTGCGTGGGGTCCACGATCCAGCTGTTGTCATTCCTGATGCCAGTAATTTGAATGTTCTGTTTCGTGACTGATGCTCTGGGACTCACTATTATTCCTTCTAAACAAAACAAACTCTGGCTCTGCTGGAGTTGTCCGATATGCGCCAATTTTATATTTCATGGATTTCTGCTTTTTCCAGTGTATTTTCTCAGAATTCAGTTTGGTGCTGCTTTTCCAGCTTCTTGAGACTGAGACCGACCCCACGATCTTCAGCTTCTTCTCCAGAGGGAGGCACCCAGAGCTTTCCTCCAGCCGCACCCCAAGTCTGAGTGTGCCGCCTGCTCTGCTGTTCCCGTCACGAGGGCTCCAGTCTCCACCATGATTTCTTCTCTGGTTCACGGGTTCCTCTGAATCGTGTTCTTCTCACTCCCATGCCGGGAAACTGGCTCTTTGGTACCAAGTGGGAACTGAACTGCGCTGACCCGAGAACTTACTGGGGGTCGCACCCACCCTCTGGAGCCCGCGGAGGCCGGCGGGGACGCCCGCTCTCCCGTGGCTGCTCACCACGTCGCAAGCCGCCATCTGGCAAGAGCGCGTTCATCAGTCGCACTGGCCGAGTCTCTCAGATCCTCCCCCATTTTCCCATTTCCTTCCTCTGCCATCTCCCTGGGTGTGTCCCCATCTCTGGCTGCAGATTTGCCGTTTCTCCTTTTATTACCGTCAGTTTTGTCCCGCATCTTCTGAGGCTCCGTGGTCAGCACGCAGGCAGCACTGCATCCGGACGACCGCGCTGTCCTGTGAGCCGGGGACAGCCTCCACGCAGACTTGTGTGCTCTGGCACAGCCGCGGGCACCAATCTTCCTCGTGGGTGGCTTCACGGCGTGTCTCTGTCCAACCTCTAACTCCCGGCACATTTCTGGATTTCTATTTAACCGAGTCTGACGGTCTGTGCCTTTCCGTCGGAGGGGTCAGGCCACACTCATGGAGTCACAAACAATCTGGTATAAATCTGCCCTCTTACAACTTGTTTCCCGTTTTCTGTCCTTTCATTTTTCCTTTTATTGGGGGGGGGGGGCTTTCTTTTAAATTAGTCAGGTTTGACTTATTCTCTCACGTACGCATTAGCTTACTGTGTAACACATTCTCATGTCGTCCTTCAGTGTCCCCTGCACGAGACGAGATGCCCCACGGCTCCCATCACCTCCCGAGGACACGGCAGGCTCCCACGCGGCTCACTCCTGTGCTCCGGCCAGCCGGGCTCTCGGACCCACCCCGGCATCCAGGCCCCACAGGGAGGGAGCAGCGCTCAACGGCCACCTGAAGTCAGACGTGTCCGCACGTCAGCGTTTCCGGACGCGCAGCCCCGGCCCGCGCTCCTGTCAGAGCTCCGTCAACGGCGAGTTCCCTCGCTCTACGCTTCTCTAAAAACGTTTTCCTTCGAGCCTCATTTCTGAAAAACGTTTTCAGCAGGCGGAGGACCCCACGTGAGCAGCGCCCTCTCGGTGTTTTAAAGACGCCTCCAGGTTGCCGTCCGGCGCCCAAGGGCCCACCTCAGACGCCAGGTGGGAGTCTCCTCGCTCCTTGAAAGATGACGTGACTTCTCTTCTCGGGTTTTAATCTGCTTTTAGGCCTTTTAGTCTTTGGTTTTCAAAATTGTATTACGACACGAGCCGGTAACAGAGATCTTCAAGCTGTGGCCTGAGCTGCCCGGACAGCCCTGGAAACCCTCAGCTGTTGTGCCGCCGGACGCCGTGTCCGCCCCCTCTGCCCTGCTCGTGCAGGAGTCCGGGCGTGCTCGCGCCCCCGCCGTTTCTATCACGTTCTGCTCCCAGGAGGGCCGGTCGGGTCCAAGTCAGTCCGTGGGGTATGCGAAACCGTCCACACTCAGGACTGTCTTGGCCCATGCTGGGGAACGAAGGTCAAAATGCTGGTTTTGGGGAAACGTTCTTCATCGAGTAAGACCCCCTTGGATGGGGCCCTCCGTGCGTCCCACTCCCCCTCAGGCACAAAGGGCCCCGGGCGCCATGTCACCGTCACCTTACGCCCGGACCACGGTGATCACTCGGCACCTACCTGCTGTTTGCTGCCCCGCTGTGCCGTGGGAAGCAGGGCTCGGGACTTCTCGGCGATTTTCTGTGAAACAATGGAGGGAGACAGAAGAACAGAGAAGGTGGGGAGGAGGGAAGGAGGAGTCAGATAAGCTTAAGGTCGTGGACAAGGCCTGGAGCAGAGCCTACCTTCAGCTCCGCGGCAGGTCGGCCCCTCCCCCACATGGAAGCCCTCACCTGTCAGACGGGGTGCCCGCTCTCCCCACCCGCCAGGGGCCCCCTGAGCAGCACCCACAGGTGAGTCTCCTTCCAGCACGTGCCCTGAGGCTGTGGCAACTGGCCACGGGCGGCCGTCTGCAGGCCCCGCCCGCCCTCTGCTCTCGAGGACAGGACCCCCACCAGGCCAACCCAGGCCAACCCAGGGACAAGACGGTGGGCGAGGGAACCACAGGGCCGGAGGCGCCCCGGCCGGCCCACACGCCCTCCCGGGCAGCCGCACCTTCTGCACACCCCCGTAGCGCTGCACCGCGTCGGACAGCTGAGTCTTCAGACGGTCCAGCTGGAGACACTCCTGCTGCAAAGAGAGAACGTGGGCTGTGCAGACAGCTGAGGCCCCGTCCCACCCCATCCCTCCCCCGTCCCTGGGGCGCTCCAGTCCCCGACACTCCCCATCCTCCCCAGCCCCCAGGGGACGCCCCTCGCCTCTCCCATTCACAGCCACATGGGGGTGGAGCCGGGCCACTGACTCCGCGGCCTCCAGCCAATCCAGCGCCAGGCTGGGTCTCAGCCCCAAGGTCAGAACCACACTCATCAATCCTCCCTCCTACCACCAGGTGCTCTGCAGCATGCACGGCCCCACCCGGCACGTCTTGCTCTCCAACACACCCCGGGGCCCCAGATCACACCGGGCACAGACCTGCCACGCAAGCGGATGGACGAGCGAACCACGAAACCCAGTGCCGCCTGCGTGGGTTAGCGTGAACACCACCGGGCTGCCGGGACCCGACACTCCCGTGTCTCCACGCCGAACCGGCCACACAAAGACATGCGAAAGCCCTGTAGCCTTGCACGAGGACCACGACGGGGACTCCTGGCCCCTCCTGCCTCATCAGCCCCAGGAGAGGCAGACCCTGCATCGCAAGTCACAGCCAGCCACCCCTGCCGGGGGCTCCTCTCCACCTCCAACCAGAACCCGGCCCTAAGCCTGGTGCCCGCCCTGCCCTCACTGCCACGCAGCACAGGAGCCCATGCAGGAGAGTACGCTGGCCACGGTTTGGGGGCCCCAGCTTTCCGATGGGCACTTTTCGGAGGGACTCAACATGGTCCCTGTCAGACTGTAGGTCTGAGGAGCCCGTTTTAGTGTCCGGGGCAGACTCTTGTGAGGGGCACCCTGTGTGTGTCCCAGGACAGAGCCAAGAGCCCACAGACTCCTCAGTGGTCTCTGGCTGTGTGATCCGGCCCCATGTGACGGGCACAGCCTTTCTTCTGAGGAAACAGGGAGCAACGCCAGCCCCTCCCGGCCAGGCTGTCCGACCACGGAACCATGAGAGCCTCATCTGTGCCCTTCGCCTAGCATCTGGCACACGGTAGGTGTTCAGTGTTTGCTGGGTTCTTAGATTTTGGATGGGCAGGTGGGTGGCCCCGTGGGCAGGCGGACAGACAAAAGGACACATTAGGCTAAAGATAACCCCCCACCTGCCAGGAACTCAAGCTTGGGGTCTCAGCCTTCGTGGTGCGCACAGGTGACAACGTGGACTATGGACCCAGAGAAACCAGAGCGGCCATCTACCCGAGACCCCTGCCCAGAGCAGATGCTTGGCACAGGACACTCTCCGGGCCTCAGCGTCCCTCTAGATAAAAGGCCCGAGGACACCCATGGCAGGACAGCCAGGAGTCCCCAGCGTGAACAATGTGCACAGGGCCACCCGCGGGACGTGCCTGACACACGCTCTGGAACGAGTCATCACACGCGTGGTGTGGCACCCACGGAGCCCAAGAGTGCGGAGCACGGCCGCGCACGAGAAGGCGGTACGCCTGCACCAACCCCGCGGAGCAGTGTGGACGCTGGTGCGGGGAGCCACCACGATTTCCAGCAGCGTCCACGACCATGTCCACGACCAGTTGTCCCGAACCACTGGGGGCTGTGCCTAAGTCGTGCTGAGCAGAGCACCGCAGGCCCTGTAGCCAGAGATGGCCAGCACACGCAGCCCACCCCGCCACGGACAGTGGACCCTCGCTCCCCAAACGTGCCTCTGGTACCGAAGCCCAACTCACCCTTTGTCTCTGGGCCTCCGTTTCTGTGAGAGGCTGACTTAACTCTCATAAGGAGAATGCGCTCATTTTAACTCAAAGCTCTGTAACTGCTCGTTGTGCCGTGACCACCAGCTGGTTTCGGAACATGTCCACTGCCCCGAAAAGCTTGTCGGGACCCCCTGCAGCCCACCCCAGCTCCCCGCAGCAGCCACACAAGCCTCGGCCCCGCCGTCGGCACAGGCCTGCGATTCCTAAACACCTCAGATGTATGGGGCCGCACGGCACGTGGCGTCAGCAGCCTCTCGCCCGTGGACTGCTGGGGTCACTGGGTGGCAGCCACAGCAGCTTCTCAGGCCCATCACGGAGGCTGTCGTGCACCCTCCACACCACGGCCGGGCCGCTGTCTGCATCCCAGGCATCTGCATCCCCCGATCTCCCTAGGGGCCCCCCAGCACCCCCCCCAGCCTCCAGGGCCACCTACCCGGGAGCAGCCGTGCAGGAGCTCCATCATCTGCCTCACGGTGCCGGCCCCGGCCGCGATGCTCTTGTTCGCCTCCTGCTGCGTCACATGCCTGAGGCCAGGGGTGGGGGGGAGCCAGAGAAGACAGCGTGGACGGAGAGGGCAGAGCGGGCGGCCGCAAGGTGACCGGGGAGACGACAGCAGGTGCAGAGCGTCAGGTGAAGCCGCCCATGGCGGTGGAGGAAGGAGGAGCAGGGGAACCGGGCGCAGAGGGCAGAGCCGGAGACACGGGAGGGGACGAAGGCCAGAAGCCCAGACACAGAGAAGGCAGCGACAGGGGCGAGGAAGGAGGGAGAGAATGACAGGGGTGAGCTCAGATCGGGGAGGATGGCCCGCCGCGCCCGTCACACCCGAGCTGCCGTGGTCAGGACCCCCCACCCCGCACACAAACTGTATGTGCGCTGCCGCGGCCTGGGCCCTCTGGTCTGGTCTGAGGGTCAGCGCAGCACCTCCTCGGGAGCCCGGACCCCCTGGCGTCAGCAAGCAACCCGGGACCACAGCCTCCGAGGGCTGGAAGGACGGTCCCACCTCCAGACCCAAGAGCCCCAGGGGCTGCGCCCATGTGTGCAGTCTGTGGTTCTGCGTGTGACCTCGAAGGGACTGAAAAGACCAGATCCTCACCTGCTTGGGGGTGACCACAGCCCCCCCCACGGAGCGACACTAGGAGCAAACCCTGCCCTCAGGCCTTAGAAAAGCAGCCGGATGCCCCCTTCGCTCCCTGAAGGGCCCCAAGTGGCAGAGGTGGGGGCACCGTCTGACCTGGGCCTGGGTCCCTGACACCTGCCTGGGCCACACAGAGCGTGCAGCATGGAGCCAGGGCTGGGGGCGCGCAGGGGTGGCAGGACAGAAAGGACCCCCCAGGCCAGCCGGGGAGAGCACCCCTGAGGACGGCAGCATGAACGACCTTCCCAGCAGGCCACCAACAGATTCTGGAAACCCGCGGAACATGGCTTCTCCCCTCAGACTCGCTCACCTCGTTGCACACCACTGGCCCCCCCTCCCCCCATTCTCCCTGCTGCAACCTTCCACCCCGTGGCCCACAGTCTGCCCTCCTGGTGTCTCCACGCCCAGCTTGGGGCCATGCTGCTCAGGGGGCTTTGCGGGATCCTTGCCTCCCTGACCTGCTCTGTCTGCGCCCCGAGCTCAGGCCCTGGAACCCCCTTGTGGCACCCCGTGCTCACCTCCTGGGTGCTCTCCTTTAGTCCCATGGCCTGAAGTCACCTGTGTGCCACTGTCCCCCACAAACGTCCACAGCTGGGCCTGAATGTCGGCCCGGCCCCGCCAGCAGCCCGCTAGGCACCTCCACCTGGATGTCTGGGGGCCTCTCCAACTCCACATGCCCAGGCCGCCTGCCCCTCTGTGGTTCAGTCCCTCTAGTCCCTCCAGCTAAAGCCCCGGGGGCGATCCCTCCACAGCCTCTCTCCTTTCATCCTTGAGAGCAGCGCGATCCTCAGGCGCTGACCCAGACTCGGGCCACCTTTCACCCACTGCTCGCATGTGCCCCCAACCAAGCCCCCCCGGCCGCCCCATGCCCAGTGCGGCATCACACCCCACAGTACCCCACAGCTGGGAGGTCCCGTTCTAGGACCTCTAGGCTGCGTGGGTCCCATGGAAGCACAGCCCCCACCTGTCACCTCGTCCCCCTGTCCTCACTGTGCTGGACAGACCCCTGCCTCACTGCCCACATCCCTTCCCCACCACCTCTGCAGCCGCCCAGATGGACAGCAGGTACAGGCAGCCACAGCTGGGGCTGGTGACCAGCAGCAGCCACCCGCACAGAGGACACTGGACGGACAGGGGCAGCAGGCCAAGTGCCTCCAGTTTGCACAGACCACCTCCCTGGGGTCAGGCTCACCCCCACCCCCACACTCGTCCCTCTCCACTTCTGCTCTGATGCCACCCCAACTCCCAGCAGGGAACGCATCACAGAGGGCTTGCACTGCCATCCGCTGTGCCCACGGCTTAGCACAGGCTGTAGGCAGAACACAGAAGCAGTGTGCAGACGCAGCCCCTTTTCACGGATCAGGAGAGCCACCATCTCACGTCTTGCTGGGGCCCCTGCTGCTGTGTCGAGGGACATGCAGCGCTTTTCCTTCTGAGTCCTTGCTTCGCAGTGGCGTGGACACAGCGGCAGGAAGGTGAGCACCTTGTCCGCGTCTGGGGGCACGCAGTGTTGCTCTGCGCTCTGCTCTGGGTGTCAGTGGGAATGTTCTTAAGGTCACACCTACATCCTCCAAGAGATCTGGAGCTATTTAGGCTTTCCCTTTCTTTCCGAGTCAGTTCTAAAAATTCATGTCTTTTGAGAAATTTTTCTGGCTAATCTTGGTTATAAAATCTCAATTTATTGTCTTAAGAGCCACAATATTTCCTAATTAGTGTTTTCCTGTTGGATCTGGAGGCCTGGTCTCTCTTGTTCCTTTTTTGTTTCTATTACTAGTTCATGTTTTATTAATGAACGAATTTCATCCTCTCTGTACACTCTCTCTCACCTTCCTTCGTGGCTGGCTTCTTAGGCGCCTGGTAATATACTGTGAGGTGGCCCTACTCCCTCTTCCAGGGCCACTCTCACTGTATCTGTGGCCCTCCTCCTCATTTCATTTTCTACCGGTCCCTCCTGTTTATGGTGACACGGGCGGTCTGCGCCAGATTCCCTGTCATGCTACGAGTGGGTCTCTCCATGAGGTTCTTGATCGCAAGGAGCAGTGTGGAGATGGCCTTTCTCCAGACGTCTGCGTGGCCCTGACCGCCTTGCCCTGACCAATGGGCACCCCTCAGCCCCCCAAAAAAGGGATAATAGATCACGACCAAGAGAATTTCATCCCAGGAGCCCAGGGTGGCCTAACACTCAAAAAACAATGAATGAAATTCTTGTATTAACAGAATAAATTTTAAGAGGAGAAAACACTCTCTGTAAACTTTACAGAAAATGCATTTAATAAAATTTGACGGGTATTTATCATAAAAACTCCAGGAAAACCAGAACAAAGAAGGGAACATGTTCAGCTGGACAGAGACTCTAACGGACCCCCAGGACTCAAGGCAGAGTCACGGGCGTCTCTGCGTCACGGCAGCCAACACCCGCAAAGGGAAATGTGCACGATGACATTTTGTATAACTGTACAAACGCACGGGATGGGTAACGATAAACTGAGTACAACACACACAAGACCCGCACACCAGCCGCATAGGGAACTGTGGGGAGAAACGGAAGAACATATAAACCAGAGAAATCCTGACCGTATTCACGGGTCAAGATTGTCGAGAGGTCAGTTCTCCTTAAGTTGGTCTACAGAGTCACGGCAACCTCGATTCAAGTTAAATTGGATGTGAAAACCGCAGAAATCAACAAGCTATTCTAAAACTATCCTGAAACGCACAGCAGCGGAAGTCTGCAAAACAGCTTCACAGAAAGATGGAAAAGCCAGAGGCGTCCACAGTGGAGGTCAGGACTTACTGCAGAACATCAGTGATCAAGAGAACTGGAGGGGGCGGGGGCCGTCAGGAAGACAGGCACACGGGCTGGGGAACAGAGTAACCCAGAAGGCAGCCACACGTACATCATCAGGGAATTTCTGGAGAAGATGCCAAGGTACCTACAACAGGGAAGGGACAAGCCTTCCGACAGTGTTGGAATGTGTGGATGATCATGCCAAAATCAAGAAAATTAGCCTGGACTCCTGCGCCATGCTGCGTTTCCAGGGGCTCAGGCGGGACACACGGCAGGTGGCCCCCAGCCCTCAGTGCTCAGGCAAGCCTGTGGAAGGGGAGCTGCTCGGGCAGGCGGGGTCAGGACGCCAAGCGAGGGGCAGCGTCGCGCACGTGTGACCAGGGCAGGCAGTCCATGGTCAAAGGAGGGCTGGAGGCTCAGGCCCAAGAGCGAGGAGGAGACACATTTGAGCAGGAAGGCCCAAGGTAAGGTAAGGTGAGGGGTGCCCACGGCCAGTAGCCGTGTCTCTGTGGGGGACAATGAGCCACGGGAACCCCACGGATGTGAGCCCCCCCAACGTGGGAAGGAAGCTAGAGAAGAAAGGAGGCTGGAATAAGGAGGAGTCAGCAGAGCAGAGTGACTCGTGAGCCACACCAGGGAAGACAAAAGCCTGAGAGAGCCCGGTCTGCACAGGCCAGAAGCTTCTAGAAGGAGGGAGTATCTCAACAATAAAAAGACAAAAAGCCCAATTCAAAAATGGGCAAAGGGTCTGAACAGACACACCTCTGAAGAGATAGAAATGGTCAACGTGACCGTGAAAAGACACTCACTCAACGTCGTTATCGGGAAACACAAGTCAGCTACCCAGCGAGACGGCGTCTCGTCCCCACCAGACCTATGGTCACAGCCAGGTAACAAGTGTCGTGGGGCCTGGAGCACTCGAAGCCTCACACACTGCTGGGGGGAAGGAGGGGCAGTGCGGCCACCGTGGAAGACAGCCTGGCGGTGTCCCAGCGTCAGACACAGCTAAGGCCAGCAACCCCACATCCAGGCATCCGTGCAAGAACGCCGTCCACGCGCAAGCTCCCAGCAGCCTTCCTCAGGACGACCGAGAAGGGACAATGCCAAGGCCATCCGTGACGAACAGCACGTCTTTGCCCACTCGGGCTGCCATAACAAACACCACGAGCTGGACGCCTTGGAGACAGCAGACACGTCTGCTTCCAGGCGGGAGTCTGGGCGTCCGGGATCGGGGTGCTGGCAGCTTCCACATGTGACAAGGGCCACCTTCCAGTCCACAGGTGGCACCTCCCCACGGCTGCCTCTCAGGAAGGGCTCACGGAGCTCTCCGGGTCCTTCCACAAGAGCATTCACCCCATTGTGAGGGCTGCGCCTGCAGGACCCGCTCCCCTACTGAGGCCCCACCTCCTGGCCTCGTCCCCCAGGGGTTAGATCTCTGCCTACGGATTTGGAAGAACATCCACACGGGGATACTACTCAGCCGTACACAGGAGTGAAGGGCAGGTCCAGGCCACGACGGGGAGCACCGCAATGGGCCCAGTGTCCTCCCAGAGTCACTGGTCCCCTCCCTTCAGCCAGCACGTTGTAAAATAGCAGAAATCGGT